CTATCATAGAAGAGAGTTACATGAGGAGGATCGGGTGGAGAGACATATGGTTCGATTTGGGCGATCCAGGGCTTCCACCGTAGGTACGCAGAGAGGATACCAGGCGTCTCAGCAGTCTCTGGTTGTAGCGTTCCCCAGTAGATGTCAGCATATGTCTCTTCAATTGGTTGCATCAGATACTGTCCACTTGTGGCTACACCGTCACACTGGAGTTTGGTGACGTCAGGCAGAGTCGCTCTTAGTCCATCTGGGCTGGACAGAATGGTTGCCCCTAGTTTTATCAGGAGATCCCTTCCCAGTAAATTCAAAGGCACAGTGGGCGAATGGACATATGAATGTGTCACTTTTTGTCCACCCAGCTGGGTGACAATAGGTACGGTGATTGGCAGAGTCAGCTTTTCCCCAGAGAAGCCCACTACCGTTATTGTTTCGTCTGATATTAATGCTGCCTTGGCTTCTCTGTGGGGTGTCTCATTGCTGCTGCTGGTCTCCCCAGTTTTCCCACTGATCCCACTCTGTGAGTGGCAGCTGTCGTTTTACTGGGTGGGTGGTACACTGGCCTTCAATAGGGCAGGGCCATCCATTCGTCCCACAGGGCCTAGGACCTCCTCGTCCTCGCCCCCCACGCTGGAAGCTTCCTTGACGCTGGGGGTAATTTCTCACCCAATGGCCTGTTTGGTTACAGAAGTAACATTGGTCTCTCCCTTGCGGTCCCCTTGGTGGTCCGCCCCTTCCTCGTCCTCCTCCCCACACGCCTCTACCTCTCCCATATCCTCCAGTAAATCTCTGATAAGATGGTCTTTGTGGCGGCATAGGAGGTGGCGGCACCCACGGATGCAAACCAGCATCTCCTAAATCATTCTGAGGGGAAGGTTGTGTGGCTACCATGTTTTTGGGGTTTGTTTTGTCCTGTTTCTTCTTGTTACTTATCTTTTGTTTGGCCTCCGTGAGTTGAAGTTTTAACAATTGGGCTTGCAGCTCTTTAAGGCTGTCCTGTTCTTCATCTACAGTCTCCTGTGCTCGGGACAGATGATGAATCAAATGCCGTTCCCACACAGTTGACTCACATCCTGCCATGTCAGGATTATCTACCATGGCACTTTTTACTTTATCTGGGACACCGTTTAGGACGGCCCTTCTGTACCATTCCCTTTGA